TGTTCCCATGGGCCAGGCCCCCCCCCCAGCTGGAACCAGAACAAAATGAACCCTCAGATATCAAACGGGTTCCCCAAATATCCCTCAACCCCTAATGTTTCCCCCCCCCTTCAACAAGAAGTGTTTACATTTTAAGTCCCCCAAACCGTTTTCCTATGCAACGAAAACAAATGGGATAATTCAGAACCTATGTATATTAAAAACTATATCTAAAGCAATATTTTGGGGAAGGAATCATGGCTCAACGGCAGAACCACTTCTTTGCAGGCAGAAGGTCCCGAGTTGAATTCCCTGCATCTGCAGTTAAAGGTATGAAGGGATTTGGAATGAAGTCCTTCCACCCTGCAAAGCCGCTGCCAGTCGGAGCAGGGAAAACTCAACTCAATGGATGAAGGGGATAACATTGGTGTAAGGCTGTTTCATTCAGGGAGGAAACCTGTCCCCGGTTAAGTTCTAGTTAGAGGATCACAGGCAGCCAGTGTTGGGAAAGAGTTTGTTCTCCTGTGATGCTGAGGTGCTGCTGCCAAACCAGGCAGGCAATTCAGGGACCGACAGTCTGACTCAGCATCATGTGTTTATTAAAGTGAGGGGGCGTGGCACAGGCATTGCTCACAGTAGGTTCCAGGTTCAACCCCTGGCATCTCCAATTCAAAGGGCCAAATAGGAGCTGATGTGAAGAACCTGAACCTAAGATCTCAGAGAGTGGCTGCCTGCCAGCCAGTGCCAACAACACTGAGTTTGATGGACCTATGGCCTGACTCAACATAAGGCTGCTTCATATGCTCCTATATAGTACCCTTCTTGAGAATGGACCACGGCTCAAGGGAAGCGCACAAGTTTCGCATGCAGAAGGTCCCAGGTTCAATCCCTGGCAGCTCCAATTAAGGGATTTCAAGTAACTTATTGTGGGAAGAACTTCCTCCTCCTGAGACCTTAGAGAGCTGCTACCAGTCTGAGTGGGGAATTCGAGGCTCAACAGGTCAACGGGGAGGGACTGTGGCTTAGTGGCAGAGGATCAGATCGGCACACAGAAAGCCCCACATTCAATCCCTGGAATCTCCAGTCAAAAAGATCAGGTAACAGGAGATGCAAAAGACCTCTGCCTAAGATCTTGGACAGCAGCTGCCAGCCAGAGTAGACAATACTGTTCTTGATGGACCAATGAATGAGACAGCTTCTGATGCACTTC